GTGATTTTCTTAGGGGGCTACACGCGGAGCCTTTTACCTAGAAGTCCTAAACCACAAAGCAGTTGAGCTACGTCAAGAGATGCAGTCCCGTGGTAGCCAGTTGCCAACATTTGGTTCATGAACCTTTTGTGTCCTCATGATCCTGGAGCCCATGTGCACTAATGTTTTGGAATCATGGTTTTCAAACTCCCCTAGGTGGATCCTCCGTATCCACCAATCCAGTTAAAGCAACGAATATTTCTTTTTCGTCCTCTCAATTTTGTAAACAACACCCGCAACTCGAGAATTCAGTGTGTAGGACTTTCCTGGCAGTAGTTGTACACGTATGGCCATGTGAAAGTAATTCGAGAGGTAGAGCAGACTTTCCCCACTCTTGGCCGTACCATAGCATTCAGGATTTAATTCCATAGAGTCCGAAATCTGGTACTGATACACTGTCTGCTATTCGCTAACCCCCCAACCGACTACTTCAGCGAAAACACAAGAGTGAGCGAGAAATTGTGTTGAACTACCAAATGAAATGTATGAATACTTATTCATATATACCACTCCATCCTTAGGAAATTGACTGATTGACCTTAATGAAACGCACTTGACCTTTGGATCACTTCTGATTGCCATCGATTAACCTTTTGCTAATTCTGATTGGCTCTACGTATCCATTCTCACTTTATAAAATGAAAATATTTAAACAATTAAAATTTTACTGACGTTGCTCAGTATAAGTATTATGTTTATTGATAGATGCTAGATCAGATGTATTTTTAAGTAAAGGTGCTTATTACTAAAAGTAAGTAATTAGACAATCAAAACGAGCATATACACAATAAACATACACTTTATCGCACTAAAATCATTAAGTCTGCAAGTATAGGGTAATTTTCACTAAAAACTTTGAATCGTCCATCTTCTCGTTACGGTTTATTGTTTCAGTCAACTTGAAGTATGTTAGAATAAAGCTAAGGATGGTCAAACCAAGGCGTGCCATCAGTCTCACTAGTCATTGACGTTTAAACTGAGATACGTCTGTAGGTACGGACTACCTAGTTGAAGTTCGTGTGAATATTTTAATCGATGGATAGAAAAATTGGGTGACATATTTAGTAGTCTGTCACGTAGATCCGTTCACTCTTTCCTAAAATACATATACTTTTTATTCCGTAGATTTAATCTTTCTTCTCGAATCATATTGTACAAACTTAATCTTATAAATGACTGTTGACGCCAATTACAACTTCTACAACTGTGATATTTATCTCGACAAATTCAATTAGCTGAGTTGATGTGATACGAAAACCGTAGCCAATTCAAACCTGTCTTAAGTTCAATGTTCCTTATAACTGAAGAACTGTATAGCTTATTATTACTGTCATAAATTAGGAAATTTATGAACAAATGAATGAATAAAAAGGGCGATCGACACGTGATACGATATAGACTCATGATAACCACACACGATACCGAATTATTGATAAATGTAAAAATTAATAAAAATACAAGACAAAAACCAAAAGAACACGGTTTTTTCAACAGTAATATCAACATAAGTATGATTATAAATCGCTTAAAAAAGATGACTTTTGAAAGTGATTAACACTTCAATGAAACCAAAACCTGACTATAAGGTTGAAATCATGACAGACATTCCAATACCTCATAATACATTATTTCTAATGTTTTATACTTTCCGTGTCCACCAACCCGGTTACAGTGCCGAACATTCGCTTTTCGCCCTCTCACTTTCGTGAACAACACCCTCTCCACGAGAAGGCAGTGAGTAGGCCTTCACTGGTAGAGGCTATATATGAGTGACCATATCACATCATTTCGAGAGGGAGAGTGGACTCTCCCCACTTTCAGCCGTACCAGGGTATTTGGGGGCCATTCAACTTAAACATATAGTTTACTATCATATTAAATAACAAACAAATGAATGTTAACTTTTAAAACATTAAATAAATTTAGATAATTATTGAAATGTTTTGTATTATTCATGATTCATTATTTTAATCGAATAACTAAATTTTTATAATAGAAGTAACGAACAGTTCAATTTGGCAACAATATAGTGTTTTATTGGTTTCGAATATTTTACACTTTAATCTATTTGAATTCATTTAGTATTGTTTGTTTGGATCTTCCCATCGATGTGTTTAGGACTGCAACTGGTCAGTCTCTAGTTGGCATATGTGCATACTGTGCGTATTGCCTCGATATACCTTAATTCACAAGTATGGTAAGCAAAGATAGATAGTGGCTATCAGTGGAATTTAGGACGCGCGTTTCGTCCTGTTTGGGACTCTTCAGCTGGATGAAACTGCATCTCAGAGTTGATGTTCACCCTGGGACTCGAACCCAGTACCGTTGGCTTCAAACGTCATCGCGTTATCCACTCAGCTACTGAGTCCTGGTAGCCACTAGCTTGTGCAATGGGGTGATGTTAAGGCTATATCGAGGCAATACGCACAGTATACACATATATCAATAAGAGACTGATCAATTGCATTCCTAAACATCAATGGGAAGATTCAAACAAACAATACTAAATGAATTCAAATAGATTAAAGTGTAAAATATTCGAAACCAATAAAACACTATATTGTTGCCAAATTGAACTGTTCGTTACTTCTATTATAAAAATTTAGTTATTCGATTAAAATAATGAATCATGAATAATACAAAACATTTCAATAATTATCTAAATTTATTTAATGTTTTAAAAGTTAACATTCATTTGTTTGTTATTTAATATGATAGTAAACTATATGTTTAAGTTGAATGGCCCCCAAATACCCTGGTACGGCTGAAAGTGGGGAGAGTCCACTCTCCCTCTCGAAATGATGTGATATGGTCACTCATATATAGCCTCTACCAGGGAAGGCCTACTCACTGCCTTCTCGTGGAGAGGGTGTTGTTCACGAAAGTGAGAGGGCGAAAAGCGAATGTTCGGCACTGTAACCGGGTTGGTGGACACTGAAAGTCCATCTAGGGGAGTTGGAAAGCCCTCATTCCAAACCAATGGTACACATGGGCTCCAGTATCCTGATGGAACAAATGGTGTATGAATCAATTGTTGGTCATCAGCTACCATGGGACTGAATCTCCTCACGATGATCCACTGCCTTATGGATCAGGCCTTCAGGTCAAAGGCTTTGGGCACCTGGGCAGTATCACAGCCCTCACACAAATCGAATGAGATTTGTGCGCGCATATCTATCTGGTGCTTCCTTGTATCAATATGTATGTGTTTAAATAAATAAAGTTGAATGATGAATGTTTTCTGCACATACTTAAGAAAAAGAAAAAAGAAGCGATTGACTTAAAGGGAAATTTATAAATTAGTCAATATTATTGATTCTCGGTTCACATAGATACTGTTGTAATGAACGAGAACATAAGTGAGAACAACCGAATGTATTTGAACACAAAATTACAGAACATCTTATTAAAATCTGAGAACCATACAGTAAATACTTCATTTACAAAATGTCAATCAATCATCTCAGACTTCATTGTTCTTTCGTTTCCACACCAATCATTCTTTGTTCTTGTTCTCTTTTCTTCAACCTTCTAAACCTTTTACCTCCAAGCATTTAACTTTCGAATATTTATATATACTACTTATATCTGTCGACATTAGTAGCATACACCCATTGTTTATACATTATTAAAATTTAGTTGAATGACTGACAAATGAAATTATTCACAACAAGATATAACTTCTAATTTAATATATTTTTTTCATTAGTAATAAAATCTGCTTACAAACACTAGTGTTATTCTATGTACAGATTTATAAATTACCGTCTTTTAGACAACATTCAATGTTAGTGAGAACTACGGGTTAAGAAGTGAATAGACGCTTACCAGGGTAATCTATTTTGCGGTCATACTAAACACCGCTCTTAATTGCCTACTAACTGCTGTTATTTTACAGATTTTCCAGTATATCTAAATTTTCATATGTAAGTTGCTAAACACTATGGTGTTTTGTATCATGAAAATGGTACAAGTGTCCGTAATGCATAGCACAAGTCACTGTATCCAAGATGAAACTTTGTCAATAACCTATTTGATCTATATCTTTCAAACGAGTGAGTAACATGTACTCAACACATTCAACTATACATCTTCTACACATGAGAGATATTAATAGAAAGAAGTATTGTAGTGATAGATATACAAACGCAAACTGATCATGTTTATCTTCTTTTGATATTTCTTTTGTAGGTCTAAATATATGTTTTTACTCAGCATTATTTTCACTTATTGTAAGGGTATAATTCTTATTTCTCTTAAGCTGGAAGTCAACCGTGATAATTTTCAGTGCATTAAAACCCTTAGAATAGTTTTCAGCCAAAGTAATCAACAGTCAAGAATAATTAAAGAACACCTTCCAGATTATTTAATAGACTGCATAAAAAAGGCTAAGTGATAAATCCATTCATATATAAACGAAACTCACGACTGAATTAATCACTGTAAGGTTTGGTGATTACAGAATTTCCATAGCTTTTAAATTACGAATTGATCTTAGCTGGACCACCATTGAAAGTCATGAAGCACTGAACAGCTATTTGGTCCTAGAACGGGAATCCTAAGTAGTGAGCATCTACAACCACACAACAGGGACTCAAGCCCAGGGCCCTGGTCGGTAAGACAATTATCAACCTAAGACAACGGAAAATGATAGCGTAACATCGCGAATTGATTTAAGTTAGATTTAAATACCGTCAGATGCCGACTCAATGGTATATACGTTAAGCATTCGCGTGAGACACGGAAAGCCCTGAGTTCGACTCCTGCATGCAAACTTATGGATGGACACTGCTGAGGAGTTCCATAATAGAACAAAACAGCTATCCAATGCATCATGAATTTCATTCGTAGTTTAGCTAAGATCAGTTTGTGATTTCGACACCATGGTTAAATCATAGTTCATGTAAAATTTCCAAAATACCTCATTTCTTTTATTTCCAAAATTATTTTGATTATTCCAGGCTAAAATCAATTCACTTTGTGGATGTAATGCTATTGAATTCCCATATATAAATGAAAGTCTACCATTTTGTCTTGAAATGAGTTCATTTGTTAAAATAGGAAATTGTGATATTCAACATCCAATCATACAAAATTACACTATTCATAATACTCCTTCCAATCAGAATTACACATTATTATCTTCGGTTAATCAAAATCAAAAGACAAAACCACATGAAATGCCTTTTAATTTTGAATGTTTATCTGAACTAGAAGCTGTGAAAAATCGTGTACTATGTAAATCGGAAGTTACTAAACATTATCAGGTGAGCGTTAACTGTGGAATTTTTTCCAACCAATTATTAGGCATAGAAATCTTTTTTTATACAATAACGGTAAATGTGCTGGTTACTAACATTTACGACGGTATCCATTTAGACATATAATATAATACAGTAGTATTTATATTGTCTTCGAGTGATAGAATATTCACCTAACTGTCTAGAAAATTTTATATATGTGCATTTTTGTGATGTTGATATTAAGGACGCCCCCAAATGACCTAGAAAGGCCGAGAGTGGGGAAAGTCCGATCTCCCTCTCGAAATGCACTCACATGGCCACGCGCATATAGCCTCTGCCAGAGAAGTCCTACTCACTGCCTTCTCGTGACATTACTGTTGTTTACGAAATTCAGAGGACGAAAACCGAATGTCCGGCGGTTTAACCAGGTTGGTGGACACGGAAAGTTCATCTGGGGGAGTTGGAAAACCCTCATTCCAAACCAATGGTACACATGGGCTCTATTATCCTGATGGAACAAATGGCGTATGAATCAATCGTTGGTCACCGGCTACCATGGGACTGTATCTCCTCACGATGATCCACTGCCCTGTGGGTTAGACCTTTAGGTCAAAGGCTCCGGGTGTGGTCCCCTAAGAAAACCACCTACTTCGGTTTGGGCACCTGGGCAGTATCACAGCCCTCACACAAATCGAATGAGATTTGTGCGGCACATATGTATCTGGTGCTTCTTTGTACCAATATTTATGCGTTTAAATAAATAAATAATAATAAGTGATATTAAGGACAGTTAGCTAAACAGCCGAAGTTAAACACTGCAAGTGCTGAACAATTTAGGGATCATCTGAACTCAACAACATAGTAAATAATGGGATGACGATTGAGATAACAGACACCATGATCGTGTGTCAATGTGAATATCAACAATGAGATCCAGACAGATTTGACTGACCAATAGCAAAGAAAACGGAACGCGAGTTTTGAATAATGCTGTCAACAATGATCTTAATATAATTAATCTGGGTAAATAGTTCCGATCCAACATTAAGATAAGTATAATTACCTACACAATCGATTTGAAAATAGCCTTAAAGAAATATTCTTTTAGAAAAGTCTGTAAAAATTTAATTAAAATGCAGCTTTTACCTAAAATTGTGCACTGGAATGCAATTTATTTACTGATACATATTACTTTTTTGTATACTCTCCGCTTAAATTTTAAATATATTTATGTATATGATATAAAAACTACGCCCTGAATCTGATTCCTATTTGATCGTTTCTGATTGCTTGTTATTAAAATATACATTTAGCCAATCCTCGTGTATAATCATCGACTTAACTCACGCTAGTGTATAACGGGATTAAATAAGTCAAATACGAGAATGAATTTCGAATATATGTATCATGTACATTCATCGATCTGGACAGACATTCAGATGAACAAAGCAGAGAGAAGCGAAATGACGCGTGGTGAAGAAGGCGAGTGAGGCAGCTCCATTTAACCAAGCGTTAATTGACATTTATAGTCACACAAAAATAAGCTACAGACATGTGATGAATAGGATGATGTACAAACACATATGCTCATATAAAAACAGTCAGTGTTGATAAGTCATATTAACAACGTCAAAACGTGACTCAAGAAGAATGAATAGATTGACCTATTCAGAAGCTAGAATAAGATATATAGTATATAGTATATAAGATATATAGTAACTGACAATACACTAGATATATACTATTCTAATAAACAAAACAAACTTCTAATTATCATCTTACTAGTATTAACTACCTAAAGAATACCCAACTATCTCCTGTTACGACATCCATAGTAAGAAACTGAAGAAATATATCAACTACAGTATTTTGTACTTAAAAGTATACGCTTAAAACCAAATTAGTTGTGTGTACAAAGTATATTTGATAACGTATAAATGTAAGGGCTGAAAACCACAACTTGGATGTGGGAAAAATACAAATGAGAGTTAAAATGTAAGTGTTCAGGATTGTCATGATTATATAATTCATAGCCAAAGACAGTTTGAATACACAAGAAGGATTGAATTTCTTGACTGGATTAATGCTAGTTTAAATTTTCATTCATTATGACTATCAAACAATTTATAAGTACTACGCTCGTATGATTTTGAGATGGTGAAGATTTGTAGCTCAGGTGGGTGATTTTGATGTAGGTTTATTCTCTGAGCTGGATGGAAGGACGATGAAAGCTCCACGACCAAACCATCCAGCTCAGAGAAAAAACCTTTATCAAATTTATAAATACTTCTATAATTACTAAGGAATTAGTAGTTACTAGTATGTGTGAACAGTTTTAAATACATTTAATTAAATAATTACTTGGTCAAAAGATTTTATCATATCTAATAACATATTGGTATATTGTATTGAAGTAATTAGCTAAACAAGGGATATGAAGAGTTGTTAACTAAGTATTATGTACCTCATTACACTTAGAAAAATAAGTTGGAGTATACGAAATTAATGAGTATTGCAGAACTACAATTTCGAATAGCTTGAAGATATGCTAAATAGTACAGAAAAGTAACATATTCATATTTATATCTTCACAGGGTGATGTGGTACTATCTTGCACACTACCATGTGCTTTCTTCGCTTATGAAACAGACAGATCAACATCGACTTGGCCAACGAAATCATGGCAGTTAAGTTGGCTATCAACAAGAGCTGGAAAAAAAGTGGCCAACAGACCCGACTTAGTCGGATATCGGTTGGCGAAAGAAAAGATAGATTCATCTGAAGGTGAAAAAGAAGCGGAAGAGTTCTTATCAAAAAGCAACGTTTTAGAAAGGAATTTACTAGCAATCATGCTTATCCGACCGAATTTTAACGTCCATAAGGTAAGTTGTCAACTTATCACTTATAATTCTTAACGTTACAGTAGATTGTCCAAATAATTAATCAGTTTTATTACAGTTCCTTTCATACGATTTAGGTTTGATAAAGAATATTCATTTACCAAGGACAGATTCACGTACTCGGCTTCAATTCACACTCCAAGCGTGTATGTTAGAGATAATTGCCGAAACTAAAGTGGAATGAAGTTCAGACTGGCGACTTAGTGTTTAAGAATAGAACAATTCTAACCATATCCACGGCTTTGGCGAAAGATTGACGTTATAATCATGTTACTACAGAAAAGTTTCATAATATTATCCCACTGACTTGCGACTGAACACTTTTATCACGAATCACAATAAATGTATTTTAGTCTGTTTTAACTGTCGAAAATTTTGAAGCAGTGGATTGTAATGGTATTTCTTATGATATTCAGAAACTGATAATAAACAAAGGATTTATGGCTACATAACTACTAATCTTAAAGTATCCAATTGTATAAGGATAGTCTTCATTAGAAGGGAATCTGAATTGTTATGATCTGAAAAGAAATTCAGAAATCAAGATACATTCAAATACCTGAGATGGAATATGCCCAGTCGGATTTTATTAAAACTTATCGATTAGCAGACATTTATTAATGAAATCTGAGACTAATCTCCAAAAACGGCGCATGTGAACGTGACTTTAGCTAACTAGTTTAATCTCAAGACATCCAAGGCAATTAGCTACGAGTATATATTTGATAAAAATTAGATTTGTTAAAAGAATGTGTTAGAAAATCTAACATGCTACAATAATTAATGCAAGAACAACTCAGAAACACTAAACAGTAGTACAAAGACCGAACAGTTAGTTGCAAATCTCAGATGAAACGATTCCTTCGAGCAAAACGAATCAGTCATAAATTTGGATGGACAAATATTACTTACTTACTAACGCCTGTTACCCCTCGTGGAAGAGCATAAGCCGCCCACCAACATTCTCCATCGAACTACATCCTGGAAAATCCTTTCCAGTTGCTATTCATCCTTCCAATTCTCGACACAGTGTGTTCTTTGGTCTTTCTCTTTTCCATTTCCATTTATGATTCCAAGTTAGCGCTTGTCTCGTGAAGCTGTGTGATGCTTTCTGCAATTTACGTCCACCTCTTCCAGAGTTTCTCCATTAAGTGTGATTAGGCTGGTGTTCTCCGTGTTGTATTTGAGGATCTTGCTTTTTCCCTTGTGTATGTTGAAACCTAGTGATGCAGAGGCTGTTGTTACACTGATTGTCTTGACCTGCATTTGTTGATGAGCAGGTTATAGAAGAGTTAGGTCATCTGCGAAATCCTAATCGTCCAGCTACATCCAAGCTGTCCATTGTATTCTGAGCTTTCCCTCAAATGTCGAAGTTAGTCACCAGAAAAAAGGGGAAGAGTGAGAGTAGAAAGCCTTCTCTAACTTCGGTCCTCACTTGGAATGCGTCTGTCAGCTATCCTCCATGCACCACTTTGCACTGTTGTCCGTCGTATGAGTTACGGATAATGTTGACAATCTTTTCATGACCTCCATAGTATCGAAGAAGTCTCCGTAATGTTCACCCATCCATACTGTTAAACGCTTTCTTATAGTCAATGAAGTTGATGTATAGTGACGAATTCCACTCAACTGATTGTTCACCGATGATCCGTAGTGTCGCAATTCGATCTGTGCGCGACCGATCCTTACGGAATCTAGCCTGTTGATTTCGAAGTTAGATGTCTACTGAGTCTTTCATCTGGTTCAGTAACTCCATTGAAAACTTTTCGTGGTACTGACAGTAGTGTGATGCTTCTGTGGTTCTCATATTTACTCAGATCTCCTTTCTTTGGTATCTTGATGAGATATCCTTCTTTCCAGTCCGTTGATACTTGTTCCTCTCCCCAAATCTTCTTGAATAGAAGGTGAAGCATGTTTGCAGTTAATCCAACGTCTGACTTCAGTGCTTCAGCTGGTATATTGTCAGGTCCTGCCGCCTTCCCACTTTTGATTTGTCTGATGGCCATCTTGACTTCGATCGTTGGTGGAGTGACATGTATAGGAAGGTCAGTGTGTGCTGCTTCGATATCCGGTGGATTCAATGGAACTGGTCTATTCAAGAGTTCCTCGAAGTACTTCACCCATCTGTTCCTCTGTCCTTCAATCTCAGTGATTGTCTTTCCTTCTTTGTCTACGACGGGTCGATCTGGTTTATTATATTTTCCTGCCAGTTTCTTTGTTGTGTCATATAGTTATTTCATATCTCCTACTCTTGCAACTTTTTCCGCTGTCGTTGCTGCAGCCATGTGTCATTCGCTTAGTTCATTTTCCTCAAATAAATTAAGATGACATTAGGAAGTTAAAGTACCTCGAAACAGAGCTAGGTACCATATTTCGCCAAATATGTCGATTTACATCGGAAACACGTCACTCTTACCCTACCCTATAAAACAAATTTAACTATTACTAGCTACTTATATGACAAATCTTCGAGTAAGCACACTATTGAATGACACAGCATATTAAAATAACTACTAGTAAACACCTTGACATGTAATATTCTATTTACAGGTAGATGAAAAAGAAGTCCTCTCTCTCACAAGTCTCTTATCTCAGTCTGGTGGTTTATTCTCCATTTGGATTGGACTTAACATGATGTCAGTCATAGAAGTGGTGGAATTGATTTTTCATCTTATTACAAGATGTAGACAATTTTCAAAGCGAAAACGACTTCGCCGAACTCAAAAAAAACAAACTACATGCGATACACCAAAATCACTAACCAATACGAATAGTGAGACAGGAGTGGTACAAGATCAGATAACAAATCAAGGAGTCGTAAAACAAACTGAAAAGTATAGAAAAGACGACATGACTATAAACAATGGTCCAATACAAATACACCCCAGAAAACGATCTCCAAGTGCCCCCAATCAGATGGTATCTGGAAATGTATCATTATATTTACCCCAAATTTGACACATCTCACAACTATTCACGATCAAGCTTAACCTGTGTTGATTTTTTTAAATTCTAATATAACATTTCATTCAGTTTGAAAATGCTTTTAGTTGTATATATTATACGTCTAACCTAAACAGCGAAAGAATTATCGGCATTAAGGTTGAAAGGTACGTTTCTAAGATTGCGACAAGAATAATTTTGTATGAACACAATTAGCCAATTGGGAAAAAAGGAAGCCAAAATATCCGGTAAAGCGCACTTTCAGAGACTAATAACCAATTCAGAACATATTAAGCAAATAACAATAACTTTAATAGCTGAAATCATGAATCGATCTCAGTGACCTGCTTAAACATCTAGGTTACCTGTCATCTAGATGTTGCAACAACTTATCTAGTTTTGTTTGTTTTAATACATTATTATGGCTATTAACCGCACAATCTATTCGGTTGTGTTTCTGGAAAGTGTATAACCTTTCGTTGTAGAGGTTACAAAAGGTTTAATCACAGATATCGTGGTTGCAGGCAGGGAAAAGAACGTACAGTATTCAAATGCCGATTGACTGGACTGCTAACTTCGAAATGGTGACCACTCAATATTTATCATCAGGATCGACGAAAAAGTAAGAAACGGAAACTTGTTGAAATACTTTGTGCTGAGAATTCTATATTGTACCTAAAATACAATATTGAATAAAGCTAATAATAATAGACACCCAGTGCCTCCAGGTTTTCAACGGTGGTCCAGCTTAGATCGATTCATGAATCCAACTATTAAAATTACTACAACCTCCACAAACCCCCGTGCTGAAAATAACAATACGTATTTATTAAATATTATTGCATGAAACTATATGCACACGCATGTATATCCTTAGACTAAAAAGACCAATGTGGGATTTGCACACCAGCCCCACGCTGTTACATAATATACCACCAAAGCAAACGGGGACCGAATATAGTAAATAATGAAATATATTGTAAGCTAAAGCAGATATTCACTTCTTAATTGTTGGCATTAGCTTCGCTGATACCAAACACGAATTGTACAAACCATCTTGTAGTATTTTCACGAACAAATATCACATTTAGTCGATTCATATCAACTTTCTACTGAATTACCAATCATTACGAGGATTGGTAAATGATCAGTTAGTTCCGTTAGCTTCAATATTGTGAAATACGATTTACAATCTCGGACGAGTAAAATTTAGAAAGCTATGTCAATCCGTCGCAGATTTATGAATTGTTTATCCACAAATCGATCTGAATGGTTAGAATCACTCCGTTGATATTATGACATAAAGTTGGTATGTTTTGGTAGGTGCGGATCAGCCCGATATAACCAACATGTGGATAATGCGATGGCGTTTGAAGAGAAGGGTACTGAGTTCGAGTACCGAAGTGGGTATCAACTCTGTAATACAGGTACATCCAGCTGACGAGTCCCGAATAGGACGAGACGTGAGTCCTGGATTCTGTTGCCATTCACATTCTATCTATTCTATGTTATCCGATTACAAGTTTAATGATATAACATACCAGAGGCTCGACTAATAACAGCGACAATAATACGAAATTATTACCACAAAGTAAACGAGTGTCAAGAAAGAGATTCTGTCTAATCAACACATATGATTTCTGTAAAACATAATTTGATCATTTTGTCTAAGGTCTACAACCTTCTTATCATTTATCTTGAGATAAAAATTATCACAAAAATAACAATTAATTCAATATTCAAATGATATCAATCAGAATTCCAACATTTTTTAGAATGTTATTTTCAACCAAAGCGAACCCACGTCACCTATTGTGGTCAAACACATTTACTTTACTAGAAGTAGATTAGATGCTGAAGTCAAATAGCTTTTAGTATTAATAAAACAATACACCTAAGATTTCTATGCTATATATCTGTACACAAACCAGATGTAGCAACAATAAAACTAATTCCCAATGAAACAAACCATTGCCTATTAGTATATGCAGATAAGTTGGAGAAATTAGGGGATAATAAGTCAGAGCTGTGAACTGACTGACTGAGAAACACTTAACGTATGTAGCTCAAAAACTAAATGAAGGATATTAAAATGATTAGTTCAAACAAAGCAAACAAGTACAAATAAATAATATCAGATTTTCTGTGCAGATAAATTTTATTCAATACAATTGATCTAAAATGCTTCGAAGTAATTCATAAATTTGGTTGACAGTTAGACAACAACACTTTACGGCATAATTGGTGTTGTAGACGGTGGACAAGCTCAACTTAATTCAAAATAGGTACGAAGAATCTTGAGCATTTGAGAGCATCACATTTGTCTCATATGCACAATACAAACAGCAAAGCTAAGAAATTACATGAATATTGCCACAGTGAAAGTGACAAACACAAGCACTGAAGAGTACTAGATAATTATTCAAAGTACTGACAATGTGAAAAAGATAATCCATCGAACCTATAAATATGTTAACGAAGCTTATGAAAGTCATCCACAACTGGCAATATGAAAAGCTGGTTAAAAGTCACTGGTTTTACAGTTAGCCTGCAAATAACTGAAGGAAAGAGTATCTTCAAAACTAAGTCGCTCAAGAAACGAAGTGAAGATATATTTCGAACAAATCAATGAATGAATTTTTTAATTATGAATCTTGATAGGTTTCTCGTTTGGAGCATAACGAGGACGTTTAGATGGCTTATGATCAATTCCCAACCATGGGCGACTTTCAGGAAGACAATAGTGAGTAAACCTTTTTATCTGCACTGTGGGATCCCCTTCATTCGGGATGTAAGCGCCCTCGGTTGGATAAATTACAGCGAATCGCCAACGATCAAACTCCTTCTCAGGTACTTCTAGTCGCTTACGTATACGCTCACGCACTGCAGTGTAATTCTCTCCATCTCGAATGCGTACAGTGAACGGCACCCCGAAGGTTTCTGTGAAAGCTTTGTCAAAATGAGAAACGTACACTACAGTTTCGTCAGGCTTCAAGTTTATTTCGTCAAGAGGAATTTCTTCAATCCGAAGACTGTGAATGGGAGACGACCCTGCATATGTTTGAGGGAACACAGCAGATTCAGGTATGAGTGAAAGTTTTTGTGTTGGAGGATACTCTTGTATAATTCGATTACGAGAGATTTTGAGTAAACGCAGTTGGCCAGAACCACCAGGAGGCAAGACTAAATGACGAGCAGCTTCTTTTAAAAGATCTAAGACTAAACCATTCTGGGGTACTGAAAGAATTAATTCTGCCTTTTCAGATAATTTTTGCCCAACATAAATCACACGAACTTGACGCATTGTTTCAAGTTCATCAATTCGGATAGCCAGATGTGCGTAGTACACACGACGAGGTGGGGAAGAAGTAACAGGACCCAAAGGAGAACGACTAACAGTCACAGCACCACAGTAACGATTAAGCGGTATTGGGAAGCGATCTGGAGTGGGAGTATTTCCACCAGTTCCTGACAATGTATTTCCGCTGTTAACCAAACCTGGCCCAATACCACCAACATCAGAAGCCCACGAAGTATTCGTAGGTGCAACAGTAAACGGAAGGAAAAATTCTTGCAATGTACCAGAATATGACGAGCTGATTGCGGGGCCGGGAGGTTCTCGCATCAAACCCTGAGCGGCTGCGGCTGCCACAAGTGAATTTAAGTAGGGTGACGACGTTGGGAATCCTGAAACAAACAAGAAAGACAATAAATCACGTTACTCATTGTAATGGCTGAAGTACCTGTGTAACGTTAACTATATTATTCAAACTGTTTTAGTGACGAAAACAGTCCAAGATAGAATTTTGAAAAAGAGTTTGTCTGTATAACTTACACACATACATAAGCTACCACATGGACTAATTTTCTGCATACACAGTGAAATACGAAAAGCTAACAATATCAAACTTTTCCTGAAGGAAAATCCATATTCTATAAAAGCGAAAATCGAGTTCAGTTCTCTTACTACAGTATGGTTGGGTGAGGTATAATGTACATGGACGGTTGGAGAAAAACTATTGAGCGCTAAAACTTCATTGGCTCAGACGAATACTTCTTTTTTATATTTAACAAAATTTAATAATACATTATATGTAATTCCAACACATTTCAAACATCAATAAGACAACAGGAGAATGAGGACCAAAACCACTGTGTCCTCTTTTCTCCCTAAATTGAGAACCACAAGTCGACAACAGTAATTTAATGACCTGGCACCATGTGTAGTTGACAACATAGAAAAAATAGTAGATGAAATCTCGAAAACCTTGGTTTCAAAAAAAGACTAGTCTGGATAAGGCATCTTAGAAACCAGGTGGGTATTTGTCCAAAGTGCAAACAATTCCGTAAATATAAGCTTGAAAACCGGGCATCTTTCCAACAAATTACAGTATAAGTTGTAAGAGCTAAATGTTCAATGTGTATCAAAAGTTATCATTTGTGATCTCCACAATAATGTTGGTGATTTGATCTTTGCCTAAATAATTCGCTCATTCATTAGGTACTTTACTTAGATATGAGACACATTCAGAGGGTAAAGGCTAATGATATTACATGGTTTTTTAAACCGAAGTATCACGGGGTCCTAATATGGTACTTAATAGCTGAAAGTCAGACGTCCTAACCACCAAGACACTATTGCATGCTAATAGCCAAAACTATAAATTTAGTAGAACAGTACCTAATATGTCAATCAGAAACAACGTAAAGCCAGGTATAAATTCATGTTTTCCACAATTCGGGTAAGTAAACGTGTCAAGTTGAAAGCTACCAGGCTTCAGGAGTCAATATAACATATACTGTGACTTTAAGTAAATAATCACTATCCGATTTTGAAGACAGCGACTCAACGTAAAAAGAAGTGGAACGGATAGTGTGAAACAAGAACAACAATGAGAAATAACTGTGGTAGAAACAAGTGTTGTATTTACAGAAAATGATGCATGAATTCAGGATAAACCATCGAGACATATTAAAAAATAAGAATGATTATCTTGTACTGACGTTTCCCCTAACTTACCAGATGATTTGGCTGTTAACAAATGAGGATGAATTGGTGACCCACGGGTTCCTGTAACTCCTACACCCCCACTCTCTATAGAACAGACGTTGTTATTGCCACAATTATTCTCTGTAGTTTCTGAATTGATAGGTGGAGATGCAAGTTCACTTCCAGCGACACCAGTCCCAGTGGAGACCGGTGAGACATAAATTGGTGCATTAGCAGCATCTGTTGCATTCCCAAATCCTTGTTGTGAACGGAAAAATTGAAGACGGTTACTTTGCGTTGATAAGTAAGATGCAGCAACATTGGCGAATTCCCAATACGTAAGGTCAGCTGACACCTGAATGAGAATCCCAGCGTCCTGAGGTCTAAGCTTATCCACCAACAATATTTCGAACTACAAGAAAAAGGGATACTTAGAGTTTTACCTTTAAAGAATAAGCGTCATTACGTTTATATTAACTTATTTGGTAATCCTTATAGAATGTTAGGAAAATGAAGAGTACTTCGCCGAAGAATCGCCTTCGATTACTTGTTTAGGCGTTACAGGTACGAACTAATAAGTAATGTTATAATACCCTGTATATAGATTTCGTAACAACTTAAATTCAAGTTAACCGGGTTTGTGAAAGATAAGTCAAATTTGAAGATAGTCATTGTCACGGACTGCCATCACATGCGAAACCACTGGACAGCAAAGAGTGCTGAGAAGTTGCTTCGTTCCAGTCTAGGGCTCCTGGAGAGGCTGTTGATGAGCAATACTGAAGAGATCTAAACTAGAACGAAACATTCGTTCGTGTATTTCACTCTCCTCCATTACGTTCAGAATAGTGCTTTAAATACTTCAATTTAATCAGCTAAAATTTAAGTGAGTTTCTAATTAAAACGATGGAAACTAGCACATTTCATGATGATATATATGAATGTATATGGATTTGCATACAAAATTAATTTTAACTCTACAATAAAATGATTAAGAACTAGAAAATCAATTTTTTTAAGAATTTCATTATAGCACACAGAATTTACAATCGTACAGGTAATAAGAATAATTGGGAACCTAAATGACAACAAAAGCATATACTTAACCCTGAAACAACGTCTTTTCTTAAATACACTATTCTGCTACAACCTATTACGATGAATAATGAATTATTTCAAATCAACACATAAAAAACATATAGAAACATCTAATAAACATTACCTAGAAGATTTTATGTAACATTTATGGTAGGTTTCCCTACTATATGTAACACAAACAGGCAAATTTCAAGACTGACTTAAAATATATGCATTCAATGATGTAATGGTCACGATTATAATGGTTAATGTAGAATAATAAACATCTTATTGGAGATGATACGTTAATGGTTAAAACTTGAGTTTGAATTTTCCAAAAATTCTTGAAGTCATCAATAATGATGCGTATGTTGAAGCAAATGTTACAGTTTTAAATCATGTACTACGAACTAATTATCCAACCAGATTGCTTTTTTAATTCTGGACAACTTACACAAAAAACAAGACCATTGAAATGTAATAAAATGATTACTTATTGGTAAATTATTTATAACTAAAATACTATTTGTAAAAATCTTAAACAAAATCTATTAAGCACACCTGACGTATATAACTGCTGAAGTAATCAAAAATCGTCAATTTTTCGGCAGATGAGATTGATTGTGTTTGCAAATCTGCCGCAATCGGTTGACCCATTAGATTCATACAAGATCGAGATTTATTGCCAGCTACTGCTGGGAAAGTAGCCATTTTATGCAAAGTAATAGAATCAATATTTGATAACGAGACAACAGAAGACTCTGAAATATCTCTGCAAACATCTGCGTTACCACTAACGTTATCGTCCACGATATGTGAAGGAGTGACTATACCATTCATCCCAGTAACCTGGCTGTTTTCAGTAAGAAGAGGACTTTCAACAGATGACAAAACATTCGCATCATCTACTAAACTGCTCAGCGCTTCTTTCCCCACCTCAGTAGTTTCCATCAATCCAAAGGGTAATGGGATTGAGCAGTTCATCGATTTAGCCTAAAAAAAGACGATTAGAAAGTTTCTGAAAAATAATGTCTATCCCACTGAATATAATGAATCCAATAAACATAACAATACAAAGCAAGCTATGTAACTTTATTTCAGTATCGCTACAAATAGTTACTCTGGTAAATTATAAGATACTACTTTTGAGTCACGAATTCCCAGGGTAAACGAACAAATGAAAAACACTGCACTCAGCTGATACTGTGACGTACACAGAAAACAGATGAAAAAGACATCTTTGTTATAATTTGCACACTGAAAGTACATTTTGAAATGGATTATCAGGGGTTTCTAATAAGTTGGATGAGCAGTTTTAAGTCTGGTTTATAAAAAACAATGCAAATATGTATGACTTTTTCAGTGATTCAATGCGCATATTCTATATATTTAGGACATGAGATTCACAAAAATTCATCATCAGTACTTGGTCATAATAAGTAGCTTTAATAAGTAGAGAACTCAACTTATTATCAATTAATTAATTAATATGACGCTGTACCCGACTATTAGTTTGCGATTTCATTTTGGGGTGATAGCCATGGTATTATTTGACTAATGAGTACTTTATTTGGTAAATTGTGGCTGTAATGGTAACTAGCATATGAGTTTGGTAATACGTCATTTAGTCTCAGTTGTGACAGTTTATAAATAATGTTTATCATTAATGCCGTGAGATAATGTAATTGAAACTCACAAGTTAGTGAACTAAATTTAATCTAAAATACTATCTAAAAGCCTAAACAAGAAGTAAGGTTCAATCTGGTGCTAAATGCATTAAACAAAAAGCTGAGTAAGATTATATTGTAACACAGGGATCTTGGTTAACGTTGTTCATATAAAATACACATTTTCAATCTAGTTTCTTGATTTTTTTTCCTAAACTAATGCAAATATGTGGAAAGATTCAGAAAGATCTGCAACTGTAAACAGATCACCGTTCCAAATGTTCGTAAGCGTTTGGATATTCAACAGAACTATGAACAATAGATTTACAACAAATTACACCAAGACCACTTGAGCTAGCGACTGGGAAATAAAAGCAAGGTTTCATTATTCGTTTCCTTATGCATTTGAACGGAATCACAAAACCATACAATGAGCATTGAAATGTAGGTATATGCAAAAGATTGAACAATAAAGTTAACTAACTTGAAAGTACAAAATTTGTCCTTGGATATCGCGTTTATACATTTTAGATATTGGGATATCAAGTTGTGTAATTTCAGATATCAAAGATTTCGCATCATCTTGGAAAAACATTAATTTACAATTAGAAGGCAATCCAACCCGTTCCCGAGCTATTGGTTCAATAATCCTCAACGACTCGTCTCTGCGAATTTCCACGTGGCCACAAAAGGTTGACGTCCAAGTGAATGGATCGAAATATTTGAGGAAAAACAAGTGTCGATCTATCACAGTTTGTTCTTTATCCAGACGAGGAATAACTGAATTAGTCGAAGTATCAGACTGAACAAAAAATATGAGAGCATCTTTCATAGCGCATAATGGTTGATTATCACAAAGTTCAATTAGGTGAGTAGGCATGTTCTTACGTCTAATGGTGAAAAAAATAGAAGCAAACTACATAACTTTCGATGAACATAGAAACGTGTAAAAATGTTTCTTGATATTTGCTTTAGCATTTCCGTTTATAAACATCAACTACGTTATGGAATTTTGCTTGTGGATATACGCTGTTCACCAAGAAGATACAAAATATCATATGAATAATCCTATTAAAAACTAAGTATTTTTACTAAATTTTAAAAACAGAAATGCAATTTTGAAGAAAAAACCCATTGATTCATTAAAAAGGATGAAGACTTCAGCGACGACATCATTTTCTGAAGCTGTATAATCGTATTTATAGGTAGTTTTTAAATGCAGTGGTGCATAGTAAAATAGAGGAGTGTTACAAAATTATCAAAGACAATCAAACTTACTCAAGTATCGGATGTGAAAATCAATGAAAATGTAGTTATGTTGTATAACATAATCAAGAATTTTTAGGTATAGAATAAAACGTGTATTTCATTATTTAGCAAAGTTGTTATGTCCTAAGCTCCGTCAAATATCATGTGACTAAATAGCCAATTAGAAACAGACTTATATAACCTTGACACTGTGCCAAACCAATGGCGTGTTAAGCTGTATGAATAGTCTAAAATCAACTCAGAGTCCCTAAAGGTTCTTCTTGCCCAGCCCTGTCCGTTAGAGTCCAGAACACAATTTCAAACTCCACTGTATGAATCAAATATTTCAGACATACATGGTTTATACACAAGCCAACCCCACCGCATCATACCATAAAATAAAAATAACAATTGTACAAGATCAGGCCAAAAGTGGCTGTGAGTGTGATACTGTAACGAATAAATTAGGAATAACTTAAGAATACTAAGTCATATAATAGTAGCCAATAGGTCAGATGAAAGCTTATAGTAAGAAAAATTTAAACGTAGATAATCTAGTTACTTAATAGTTATATATATATATATATATATATATAATAACAGTCCATAAATAGTTCCCAAAAGTGACCCATAATCTCCCGCGGACACAGCAAAAGCTGAAGTTATGTAAAAGTTTGTAGAATAAAAGCAAAAGATAACTAACTACTTTGTAAATGAGAAAAGTAAGGTAATAATTTCTATTTCTATTTATTTGAACACATAAATATTGGTACAAGGGGGCACCAGATATACATGCGCCACACAAGATAATAAATATCACTTACGATTTGTAAAATTTGAAGCGATGCTAAGAATACAAAAGAATAAGGGATAGAACATGACTTTTTTAAACACAGAGGTCAAGTTCGAAGTGTCCAATAGCTATAGTCTTAGCTGTGAACAAATTTCTGACCCAAACTTATGTTGAGCCAGTTCTCTTCATCAGACAGATGATTTTTGAACGACGATTTTCGTGGTGAGCTGTGACCAGGACTGACTTAGTGTTTAAAAATCGAACTATTGATTGATTTTCATTTCCTTTAAGATAGCCATCCAAGATAGAGCTGGATATTCATTAACCAAGTGCACGCTCTGTGCGCCTAATGTAACCTGCTCCACAGAAGCAAGCAAATTTTATTTTTTCGAGAGATAAATGAATGATATCTTTATCATCTGTGACGAATATAGTGACCTTAATATAAAAGTTTAATGACTGCCATCACTTGATTACGTTTATAACACAATCAGAGTCAAATTCGGAATTCCATTTTTTCGATGTTCTGTTAAAACAAAGATTAGATGGATTTCCATTGTATTCAAGAATACAATTATTTTTGAAAGTGCAGTACTTTAAACTTTACGTTTCAGTTTTAAATTACTACCAACCAACCTCAACGAGAAACCAATATCCAAAAGTATTTTTCGAATTATATTCAACTCATAGTTAAATGTGCTTTCAGTGCACATTTGTCTGACTCTTGAGAACAAAGAATGGGCTAAATTTATTTTCCTCGGTGGCGCCAAACTCTTGAAATCTGTATACTGCTCGTCCCCAGTAGGTTTTTGCATATCGACCGTTGTAGAGATCCACCCCATAATTTTGACTTTGATAATTTACTATGCACTACTACATGTAAAAATTACCTATAAATACGATTATACAGCTTCAGAAAATGATATCATCGAAAGTAATATTTGCCTCGCTGAAAATGCAGTTTGGTTAGTAACAAAAACGGACCTACCGAGGTTGAAACCGCCACAAACGTATTCCTTCAGGCTGATAATGCAACACACTAGCCACATCCTCCAATAATTTTGGACGAACAGTTTGTTTTTGGACGCGTAACATCCGACTTGGCAATAACTCCTGACTACACAAATCTGGACCCTAAAATTCGAAACAATACTATGGATTAGTTTTATTGAAAGTGCTAAAAACAAATGAAAGATAGTGAAAGTGAAATACATCTGAAATTAAGAAATATACAATCAAATTTAGCTGACGTACTTGCCAACCATAAAAGTCCTCTTCAAGTATTAACTGAATAGCGACATACAAATGAACCTTTTCTTTTTGTTTTCTTTTAGCCTCATCCATTTTTTGTTCATCCATGAATCGCTCGCGTAATGTCTCAGGAATGTCTATCTCAGAAACAGGGCATAGAACATCATCTTTAGCGGAATCTGCGATATACACAAGCATATAAGCGTTCGTGCAAAGACGCATATCAGGATCATCACTACCTCCGAAATTCTGGAATAAAATAAGTATGATTATAATCAATCAAAATTGTGAGTATATGTAATTCTATAAAAAAGCACATGCAGTTCAGACGTATATCAATAACTAAGTTATTCATATAAATGAAACGTTCGTGTACACTTTAGAACAATGCACTATGAACCCAATGAATGAAAATATGAAATAATCGACAAAATGCCATCTTTAAAACCTAGTTGTTTCAGCAATTATCAACAAATGAGAAAATTACCGAATTCTGTTAAGTGATGTGATCATGATTTGATACTAAAATACTTTAATAAAGCTAACATAACTCAGCTAGGATGTCAATTGAGCCCCAAAAGCAAATACGTGGAAACAAAATCACAGAGCAATACTGTGCTACTAGACACAGGAACAGTAAACTATGTTGTTGGGTGAATAGAAAAAGTCGATCCTAATATTAGGGCAAGTTCAAAACTTCCTAACTCGATTATTTATTTGACAACTGAACAATACTCCACTTTACTAACATTCCCGACCGTTGCTGCTAACTTGACGTATTGGTCGTCTTTGCCTATCGTAATGAACCAATCGAGCTATACTGGCTAGAACACGGTTCCCCCCTACATAAGTGGGGATAATCGAATGTATTTGAACACAAAATTACAGAACATTTTAGTAAAATCTGCCTAAGACTCTTGAACTGCAAACACGATAAAATCAGACTAGTTTCAGACCTGGTAGTGGCTGCATCGACCATATATTCACTATTCGTCAGATTTTAGAGCACAGACATTCTGATCGGCGTCCAACAATCATAGTTTCTTTTGACTTAAAAGCAGCATTTGACTCTGTAGACCGAGAGATTCTGTGGCAGTGTCTATTATTGGAAGATGTACCTCAGAAGTACATAAACCTTGTGAAGGCTCATTACTCAGGCACTACCAGTCGAATGGGAGCTTATGGAGAACTGTCGTCTGATTTCGCAACCTCAAGAGGTTCTGACAAGACTGTTCACTATCCCCATTTTTGTTCAATTTCATCATAGACCTACTGTTTGGAATAACATTCTCGTCGACTGAATTTTCAGGAATTGATCTCCTGCCAGGAGGTCTACTTATTGACTTAGAATATGCAGATGACAAAGTCCCGTTTGGTGAGGACGCTGATAAAATGCAGAGTCTATTAGCAGTACTGAACAATGCCAGGATTTTGGAATGCGGTTCTTCGCCTCGAAATGAAAGTTGTTGCTTCAGGACTGCCTTGCGTCAACACCTGAACTAAAGATAAGGAGTGAAGTAGTCGAACGCGTCGACAACTTCACTTATCTTAAAAGTCTGATCAGCCCTAGTGAGTTGGTGTCTGATGAAATCTTTGCATGAATTCAAAAAGCTCGTTTGGCTTTTTCCACCTTACGTCACCTATGCAAAAGCGATATATCCGTCTATCAATTAGGGACATGTATACTAATCAGCAGTTCGTTTTGTCCTACTTTACGGCTGAGAAACGTGGCCATTAAGGGTAAAAGATACTTGTAAGCTACTAGTATTTGACCACATATGTCTTAGAAATATCGCTCGCATCTGCGGGGATCACAGGGTAAGTAATAATGCGGTTAGACACAGGGTATTAGGGAATGATGGTAAATCAGTTGATGAGGTTGTGAATCTTCATCGACTGAGATGGTTGGGTCACGTGTTACGTATGCCTGAACACCGACTACCACGACGTGCAATGCTGACTAGTGTTGGAGACAGTTGGAAGAAAGTTAGGGGAGGCCAAACCAAAATGTGGCATCAGTCCTTGAGGTCAGTAACTTCTGGTCTGAGCCATGTTGGTAAAATGCAGACTACTTAGTCGGGGTCCATGTGACTATTGTAACCCATGGTTGGAGACTGGATGACATGGCTCAGAATCGATCACAATGGCGTAGGTGTATACACTCTTTGTCTTCCCTTAGACCGTGAGATTAAAACTATTTTATACCTTACTTCTTATGAACTAATTCTTTCTTCCTGTATCATATCCCTATAGACAATCTTCCTTGTATAAATTACTACCATCGAAGTGACTACCTTTATGAATTTGGTGTTCATCTTGTTGTGCTAACGTGTGGCAACAGGGACCGATGCATAAATGTGCCTGGTCCTACGTTGTAGCTGACTGACTTTATTAACATTAGCTTGGGCGACTACGCTGTATATCCTTTCATCAAAGTTAAAACAAAAAGTGACGATGTTTGTATCCTCCAACTACTGTTCCATAAGATCACTGAGTAACTCACGTCAAATTTAATACCACATAAAAATTAGATGTTATGTAGAAGAAAAACCATTAGTTCTCAATTTAGCATGTAGCTGAATATTCGGATATTGTGAAATACAAAATGCAGTTTAGTTTGGATGAGTTCCGTAAACCCGAAATTCAGCTGAGACATCAAACACAATTCTGGACATAATGGGGTCGTCACTTTGCAGTTCAAGTAGTTAAGTTTTAACTATTTTCTTGTAGTTCCAAAACTTCCCAACTATTTCAGTTTAGATACAAGCCGCGTAATGATTTAAAGCTTGAAGATTATCAACATTCAATGAAAATATCCTACTATAAGAATACCTCGATGGTCACTAAGTTTATCAGCCAGAGACAAAACTAATTACACTTTGGGCTGAAGGTAAGGGCTGTAAAATATAATCGTAAATCAAGGACATGGTCGAAGTATACTTCAGAATATGGATGAAGCTACTTTCAAAATGAGTACGTAAACACGCAATCTTAATTGACACTAACATTTAAAATCAGCATACTAGATCTGACTACTTATTTGTAAACCGGTACATGTTTTGCCTTGCCGCAGAAATACATTTTGCGTAACTCTTGAAACCAACTACACTAACTTATTGTGATAAGATAACCCAAACTAACATTGATCTTTTTGAGTAAATCGGTCATCACAGACGATTGGAGCACTCACCGTTACAGATTAGGACTAATTCAAATATTACTATAAATCACAAAAAGTGTAAAATATGTATTTTTTTACTGAGCAACATAACATAAAAATCAAATTATTCAGGTTACTTATGAGCACTGACAATCGAGACCAGAAAAAGTATACTAGTACTAAAGTTTTAAAAGCTACTCAATATACCATAACAACATGAATGCATGTGTCATAAGCCTTATGTGAATCTTACATAATTATCCAGATACAAGGCAGACAAACGGCATTAAACCTAAGTATCACATACACTTGAAACATCTATCCACAGTAAACTAAGAGTAAGATTTCGGGATCAGTTAGCCAAGACGAATACTTTGAATCCATTACTGTTTTGGAGTCAGACAATTATTTAAATTACTTTCACTACCAATAGTATAAGCATTGAAAAGAGAACACTTGAATACTAAATAAGCAAAAAGATGAATACATGTTCAACTAAAATCGATTGCATTTCTCAAAGGAAAAAGACTGGATTAAAATCATCTATATTTATATGGGTTTTTTTCAATAAACAGGTTGTTTTCGAACCTAGTAGCAGTGGCTACAAACAGCAAACCAAAACTAAACCATCATGAGAGTTAATGCCAAATGAATAAAACGTTACAAAACTTACCATATCGATAGCATCACGGGGTGAGCAACGTGAAACAACATCATCGTCAAACTGATACCATATGCCATTTAGCGCTGGATTTATATATACAACATAATGACCACCATGATTATCACCGGAGTGCACAAGTACAGCGTGAAGTTTGTAAGTAGATGGTTTTGGTTCAGCCAAAAACTGATCCAACTTAAGAATAGGTGGAAATTCAAACCGATCATTTAGTTTGATATTTGTGTCAGCAACGAAGTCATACTGAAAACGCATTAGTTGTAGATACAATACCGGAGGAAATCGTGTGAATATAACACCTTTTTCAGCTTCTTGGAGCCCATAGGCACCAGCATCATACTTATTATCTTGAGAGAGGGTTTCTTTGGCAATATATTCATTGAAAGCGTCATAAACAGAACGATTTCCGTTAACTTTAAGTTGGATATCATAGAAATTTTCTTCTCTCTTAGAAGAATAAGGAACGTTGATACAATTTATATAAGAAAGCATTTTCCCACAAAATAGTCCGGGTATAACATCCTCGACTGAAGTGCCTTTCATTTTGTTTTCCAAGTTGTCCAGTAAAACCCGACATAATTCTTGAGCATCATGTTGCATAAATGAGTCTAAAGTAGCCCAACCAAAGCTGCGAGTCAACTTTTTAGTGCCTACAGCACGACTACTAAACTGTAGTTCATAAAATACTCGCTGCAGAGCCAGAGGTACACTTGTTTGGGCATCATCACTTTCCGTTGGCATTAAAAATACTGCACGTCGTAATTTATTTGTGCAATACAATGCTTGAAGGAGAGAATTTAGGTAGCAAGTAGCGCCCTGATTTTTCAGCCCAACAAATCCAGTGTGGCGTTTGGAATCCCAGTCAGCACCGTGAGGAGCATCAGCTTTAATATGAGCTCGGATAATAATTGTATCTTTCGGTTCTGTTGGAGATAAGAAACCTCTCTCTGGATTAAGCAACTCGTCATAACTAATAAATTGTTGAAAACCCCAGTCGTTTTCCTTATGCGTGAAAGTATGCTGAATTTTCATTTCTTTATTCTTGCAATTCGGTCTCTGAGCAACTAACTGAATAGTTGCTTTGGCAGTACAACTCCAGGTTAGAGATTCGCTGTCTGCATTACACTGTACAAAAACACCAATTGTCGACTGGCCGTCCGCTGGATGAAAAATTACAAGTATTTTCCACGGGAGACAACGAATCATTCCTGATCCTCGAACCACCTTAAAAAAGGGGGATTAAAATTACAGAGACCTTGCAGTTACTAAAATTCATTTGACAGAAGTAAATATTTACAAAAGATTGTTTTGTAAGACTGAGAAACTCCACTTTTATATTCATTTACTAGAATTAGTATTCATAGACTGTCATATTTTCATAATAATCACAGAAACTACTACAGGTGAAAAACGAAGGGTTATAAAATATACCTTCTAACATAATGAAAATCTTTAAATACATATACATGTATTTACTTGCAAAACACATCAGTAAGTTCAGTGGCGACAGTTATACACTATTCTGGTGAAAGATGAAAACTATGCTGTTACATTTAAGTGTAAACGATAAAAATCAGTGGGTATAACCAGTTCTAAAATTTATATCACATAATGAAGTACTGTATAATAATGATTACTCATTATTATTCTTCAATGTATATTTACAAGCCTAATTTCTGTGGTTAATGAATATAGAGTTGCTATTCTATTCAAAATGTAGTGGTAAGTAGGTGAATCGGTACATCTGTATGTTTTTGTCTTAGTAACTGCAATTTTACTTTGCTTCTATTGGTCTGTACCACTTTAAACTCCAGTTGGACTATTGTCCTGCCTTAAGATTCCCAAACTTGTATCTTTTTAACTTGATAGTGTACGCTCACTGACCGAAAATTACTCTTTACTTCACATGCCGAACTTGTTAATTAGGTAGTCTAATATCGATCTTTATTGATTATCAATATTACTATAAGCGCGCTATCAAAATACAATCGTGTCTTTCCAGAGGTTAGGTCTACTATGTAAGCGGGAGCATTTTAGGTAATATCGTATTATATACTCCTCTGTGAAAACACCAGGAAAAACTTACTCATCCTAATATAGCACATCGGCGAATATCATCATTTCTGTACGACGGCTAATACAACTTTGGCCTCTCAGAAGTATAAGGGAGAATAAAAAATAGGCTTACAAGTCATAAATGATACGATAACTAGATAAACTAGTGGAATCAGACATCGTGTTCTGTGCACTTATACACACTGTCACATATTGCTAGCACCCTTAGTAGCCACATGCTACCCGGTTGGAGTTCGCTCAGTTATCATAGCCAACGATCAGAGACGCTGGGCAACATGGCTCAGAACCGGTTAAAATCGTACAGATGTATTCACTCTGTCTCCTCATCGATCATAAGTTTTAAAATTATCTTATACATTTCGTTCTGAGAATTCATTCTTTTTATCTTCAGTGATATTGTTTGTGTCTAATTTTTCCTATTACTGCTGATACTATTACTACTTCTAATTTAGCATATACCTAGACAGTTTTATCTTGCTTTGATAAATCAGTTTGGCGAATTGAGCCGACAGATAGATGTACCAGGTCCCGAACGGCAGGCAACTGACTGTTTTTTTCTATATTGTTCAAAAATAATCAAAAATTAATGAGAAAAGCCAAAACATGTCGAACATAGAAAACACTTACGCGAACATCTCCACGTGCGGCACTTTGCTGAAAACATTTGAAAAGGAAATTTATTAATCAGGACGTAAGAAAGAAAATATAAATACTACCTAGAATCAATGTTTGAAACCAAAGAGCAGACAGAAGCACTTAGTATTATAAATGAATACTGAATAATACCTTCGCAATTATTTAGGGGGGACCCTATTTATAGATGAAGGTCGGACAAGTGAAACCTCATTTAGAAACACCCATAAGCCTTAATAGTTGATAAACGGCCAATTTATGGTACAGTAAGCTTGAGCAAATAAGTGGTTAGTTAGTTTCTTCTAACACAACAATAGGACTTTTGTATTTTAACCTCTAGTTTTCGTTTTTTTTAACAAATGATTTTAGCTATCAAGATCTCTTGCAAATATTTTAGGCTGACAGAGAAAAACCTTCATCAGTCTTTAAGTAAAATGCGAGAAGCTAACTTCGTACACAGGAAATTCCGTAATGGTTAAACGATTATTACGATAAATAGATTATGAACCCAACTATCAACACATACCGATTGTACCAATATAATATAATAGTATTGGACTCCCCAACGGTGAGCACCTAAGACCCCACGGGCGGGGATCGAACCCGGGACCTCCGGTCCCAGGCTGAATGCCTAACATCTAGACTGCTCAGCCTCCATCCAACAGTACTAATGCTTAACTTCAAGCAATTCACAACCTTATACTGAAAACTATCATGTACTGACTAGTGAATGGCTTCACAAGGGAAATGCAGACATCGTAAATGTGGGTTTTATTCAAGAAAACACCTGTAGCTGTCCATCATTCCACGAAAAAAAAGTCAATTTAGACAATTCATCTAAAAGATATACGAGATAGTTGAAGTAGTCGGTCAAGACAGGATGCTTGAAAACGCTTAAGATGTATTTTGGCTTATAAACTGAAGTTATGAAGTTAAAATGACATCACAGACCATTTACACCTTTTAGCAGTATCTTTATCTATGGTTTCAGTTCACATTAAACTCATTTTAGCTAGTGGGTTTCCAAGACTTTCATTCATGATCAACGTAAGTACAATAAAAACGGAATAGTCTATCACCATTTTTTACCACGAAACACTAATTATAACTATTAGTTAATCAGATATTACTTGTACGTTTAAGAAGTTTAGGGTCCCTTGCGTACATCGTAACTCTCGGTGATGAGTTTGTAGAAGTGTACTACGTAGAAATCATAGGACACCAATATAATCTGTCAAACACTGGATCAGGGTACAAACATAATGAAGAAAACATTCAGTCACAATGAAATAAACATACTTTTTGATGTAAAATGTTTTCGAAGACACCTTCAATAACTCCTGAAGCTCTTGCTTCGTCATTTTCGTCAAAGGCATCAACCGAAGCATCTGTTTGTTCACAAGTTGTCCCGCAGCATCCTTTGACACTAGCATTATAAAACCAAGGGTGTTGTTCATCCTATAAATGGAAATCAACATAAGGAGATTAGGAACAGTTCCCTCCAAAACATTGAGTTAAGTATCAGACAAGAGTGGGGTAACCTGTACAAGGGAGTTTCTATGATTAAATTGAAAGATATGCAATTACCTTAATGTTATTATACATTTACTTCATACATAAAATATGGTACAACTGGACACTAAAGATAGAATGCGACATACAAAAATCATTACAAAGGTGAAAATGGGAGAAAGAGAGCAGTCTAAGAGGAAAAATAAGTAAACACGAACAGTTAACAGTATAATCAAGAAAAAGTATTTCCAATCAAGGAAATTTCTTTTAGTTCTACGAAGGATGTATACGAAAACTAAGGCAGAATTATCAGTAGCATCTATTTTGAGCCATGTTTGATAACGTACCAAATGCCCAGGTACGACCAAGGGTGTAGAAAGTCCGCTCTTCCTCTTCAAATGCTCTCACATGGTCACGCGTGTACAGCCACTATTAAGCAATGTTTTACTTATTGCCTTCTCGAGGTGGGGTGTTGTTTACGAAATTGAGAGGACGAAAAGCAAATGTCCGGAGCTCCAACCGGGTTGGTGGATATGGAGTATCCAACTTGGGGAGTTAGAAAACCCTGATCCCAAACTAATGGTGCATATGAGCTCCAGTATTCTGAGCGGACTGCATCTTTTCACGTTGCTCCACTGCCTTTCGGGTCAGACCTTTAGGTTGAAGGCTCGGGATGATGCCTCCTATCTGCTTCTGTTTGGGCAATCGAGCGGTATCACAACCCACACACAAATCAAGTGACTTTTGTGGCACACATGTATTCGGTGCCCCTTTGTACCAATATTTGTGTTTAAATAAATCAAATAAATAAACGTATCAAGCGGATGAGTTGCACTATTTCTAGAATCACAACCAAGAAGTCATGATGGACCAACGAACACCGGTCTTGTACAACTTTCATACCATGGCACCATGCCACACAACGACCACCCCTGCTTTTTCAAACTACCGCCAGAGTCGCCAAATAATGAACGATATGGAATTTGCTGGGACGACATTCGCAGTTTATGTCCAATCCACCGAAGTCGGTGTTTCAAGATGGCAAAACCAACTGAATTACCGTCACTGTGTCCGAACACATGTTGCCAAACTTCCGCATCACTATCTTGGTGTTGTCACTGAATCCTTCCACGGTGTGGGCAGCCGGGAAGTGATACTAGCCCTCATACCCTTAACTGCACACGAGACCAAGTTGGTCGCTTTCAAATCCTTCCTACACCTAATAACTCTGTTATCTCCACGACTAACCCTTCCCACGTCCTTTTATCACCTCGCACCGCTAGGGCAAACGATTCGAGTACACAGAACGTTATTCCTGGTCTCCTGAAACCACACTCTAAACTACATATAGGAACTTTTAATGTCCGAACATTGTGCCAAATAGGACAACAGGATTCCTTAGCTAGAACTCTAGAATCTTACACCATCGATGTGTGCTGCGTCTCCGAAACGCGCATACAAGATCCGAGTAGTGTCATTCATTTGACCGCACCTAATCAAAATAAAGTTTCATCTCGATACACGCTCCGTGTATCTGGAAGCCCTGATGCTGCTTCCCGTGGCCTCTCTGGGGTAGGTATAGCATTAAGTCCTAGGGCAGAACTAGCTCTTTTAGACTGGATCCCAGTAGACAGTCGTCTATGGGCTGTCCGACTAAACGGATCAGTAAGGACCCGGAAAGATAGGGAAACTCGTCGTTGCCTCTTCGTCGTCTCTGCCTACTCTCCCACTGACTGCAGCTCAGATGATATAAAAGATGAGTTTTACAGGAAACTTTCTGACCTTCTCCGAGAAGCTAGGCGTTCTGATGTAGTAATAGTAGCAGGTGACTTTAATGCTCAAGTAGGTAAACTAAGTGAAAGGGAAAGACACCTGGGTGGATCTTATGGTGTCATGGCGAAAAGAACAGATAATGGCGACCGTCTGTTGCAGCTATGCTCAGATAACCGCCTATTTCTTGCAAATACTAACTTTAAGCATAAGGAAAAACATCTTTTGACATGGCGACCCCCGAATTCGTCCCAACGTTGGACCCAATTAGATCACATTGCTATCAGCCACCGACGGAGGGGCTCGATAGAAGACTGTCGCTCATTCTGGGGCACATGTTTAAATTCAGATCATGCTCTAGTGCGAGCACCTATCTGTCTGCGTCTTACTGGTTGTAGGAAAGACACTGCAGGGAAGCCTCTAAGGGTTCTACTTAATGATAGGCAAGCTAAGAATATATTTCAGGAACAACTAGAAAAACAGTTAGGCAGCCATGTAAGTTGTGTCCACCCCGAGGCAGCGTGGAATGACATCCGAAAAGCTGTGGAAACAGCAGTGATATCCGCTAGTAAGGTAAACCATAACGTTAGGGAGAAACAATGGATCTCGGCAGCATCTACCGCACTGATAGATGCTCGTAAACTCATTCCACCTGGCTCTGAACATAACGAAGAGCGGAGTCAACTTAAGCGCAGGCTTATAAGAAGCCTACGAAATGATCGTGAACAGTGGTGGGTAGCGAAAGCAAGAGAGATGGAAAAGGCAGCGGCAATAGGTAACAGTAGGCAGCTATTCAGACTCGTTAAAGAAACCGGTATTAGGAACCCGAATATCAGTGAAACCATCTCAGATAAAGATGGGCATATTATTCATTCTCAATCCAGGAGATTGGATCGATGGGCAGAACACTTTAATGATCAGTTCAACTGGACTTCAACCACACTTCAGTTACCCACGATCCCCAGTCGTCTTGAATGGCAAATTGATGTAAGTCCTCCAATTCTCTACGAGGTTGGAAAAGCTATAGGAAATCTGAAGCGAGGGAGAGCAGCAGGTCATGACAGGTTTACCCCTGAGATTTTTAAGGATGGCGGCCCAGTACTAGCAGCGAGACTGACTGAGGTCTTAGGTACAATCTGGGAACTGGACGTAATTCCATCTGACTGGTCCCAATCACTGATTGTGCCAGTCTATAAGAAAGGACAAAAGTCCTCTTGTGACAATCACAGAGGGATCAGTTTGACTAATATAGTGTCTAAAATATTAGCTTCAATAATACTTAAGCGCCTAACCATAGCTCGTGAAGAGCAGACTAGAGAAAACCAGGCTGGTTTTAGACCTGGACGTGGTTGCATAGGCCAGATATTCACCCTACGTCAGGTCCTAGAACATAGACACACATTCAGACGTCCCACAATAGTAGTATTTCTTGACCTTAAGGCGGCATTGGACTCCGTTGATCGTGAGGTTCTGTGGCAGTGTTTGTCACTGAAAGGAGTACCAAAGAAGTACATTAACCTCATAAAGGCTCTCTACTCGAACACAACTGGTCGAGTTAGAGCCTATGGCGAACTGTCATCAGAACTGATTACCACAAGTGGCGTTCGTCAGGGCTGTCCACTCTCCCCATTCTTGTTTAACTTTGTCATTGACATACTTTTAGAGATAGCACTTTCATCAGCTAAACCTCCAGGAGTTGAACTTTTACCGGGAGATTCACTTGTTGACTTAGAATACACCGACGACATAGTTTTACTCGGTGAAGACGCTGACAACATGCAGTCTTCTGACCACTATAAGCAACTATGCAGGCATGTTCGGGATGCGATTCTCTCCCTCGAAGTGCAAAATGTTACTTCAGGATTGGGCTGCATCAACACCTGAACTAATGATAGGGAGTGAAGTAGTTGAGCGTGTAGACCACTTCACTTATCTTGGGAGTCTCATCAGCACTTGTGGTCTGGTGTGACGAAATCTCAGCACGGATACAGAAGGCTCGTCTAGCTTTCGCCAACTTGCGTCATTTATGGCGTAGGCGAGATATCCGTCTAGCAACAAAAGGACGGGTTTACTGTGCAGCAGTTCGCTCCGTCCTACTTTATGGCAGTGAAACATGGCCAATAAGAGTAGAGGATATTCGTAGGCTACTAGTGTTCGATCATAGATGTCTTCGAAGCATTGCTCGTATATCCTGGGAACACCGGGTAAGTAATGCAGTTGTTAGGAAACGAGTACTAGGTAAGGATGGCAAATCGATTGATGAAGTAGTGAAACTTCACCAGTTGAGATGGCTGAGACATGTGTTACGTATGCCCGACCACCGACTGCCCCGACGTGCAATGTTTCATGGTGTAGGAGTAGGTTGGAAGAAAGCTAGGGGTGGCCAGACCAAAACGTGGCACAAATCAATGAAGTCACTGACAAGTGGACTGGGCCATGTTGGTAGGTGTAGACTACCTGGTTGGGATTCGCGAGATGACAGCAACCGATGGTTAGAGACCTTGAATGACATGGCTCAAAATCGTTTGCAATGGCGAAGGTGCATCCACTCTTTGTGTTCTACCAAATTCTAATCTTCTGAATTCCTCGTGTCTTTATCTTTTTCTCTTTCCAAATTTATTTCACTGTACTATACTCCTTCAATAATTTCTTCAAACCCTAATCTTTTGGATTTTTGATTATACTCCTACTACTTCTACCACTATGGGATTTGAATCGACAACTGCATCTCTGTGCTAATGTGGTATGGCAACTCGAACTGATGTACGTACGTACGAAGTTCTACGTTGTGACTGACTGACTGATCTTCAGAGATGACGGCGATTGAAGAGTCGTCGAACAATGTTAACCTGGAGGCTAGGTTTTGCAGAGATAGTAAAAAAAATGCTTGCACCACGAGTTGTAGACATAACCTTATATAGCCAGACATCACATCGCCAAAAAGGGTCCGGATAGGTATAAACCGATCTGGATTTGATTATACGTTGGTTGATTTCATTTTTCACATCGCCATCAAAACAAATAACTAATTAGATACACACGTTTTCGAAAACTTATAGTGGGTTTCCAACAGGAATTAGTGCTGACACAGTTTTCTGTCAGTCTTGTAGAAGTACTTTCTATTTAGGTGAATAGTACGCGTCACGTAGATACCCGAAAGACTAAACGTGATTTGTATGGATGTATATCATCGCACAATGAGACAAAATCATCCACATGTCCAAAGTAGAAAAGTCATTCTTCAGGTAATAGATCCACACCGCTACCATCGCAATTTAATTCCAACAGAGATGTTTCTAGAACGTCAACGGCAATAAAGTTGAGTAAAAACAGTGAGGTTATGTAGTCTCCACAGTTGAGGTGGAACAATGGAGGTGGGTACATGTTCTCATTCTGTCTAAAGTTTCTGTGAACAGACCCTGTGGGATGTTGATAAACTTCTCAAGTAAACCCTTCAACAGAAAATTTCAGAGCATGATGGTGCTCTAACATTTAGCGGAGGATGAAGATATGACCAGTGTATGCAAGACCTGAGAATGGTAACTTGCAGCACCTCAGAAGAGTTACTTTCCGACATCCGCAGCGTTAAATGAATCAATCGTCACCGACTATGGAGGACAGAACAATCTAATCGACCTTACTGGGGTAACAGATCAGATAAATTGTCTGTCGAAGAGCGATATTTATCGTCCATGAAGTAGTTGTACCTTAATAATTAGCGCTTCATCAACCTCAGAAATCTTTAAACTCACAACAGACTTTTAGCTGCCAGGGTTTAGGATGCGCTGAAACATCTTCCGGAAGTTAGCAGATGCAGCTGCTGTTCCCAACTAAGAATCACACTCTGACTACTAGTTTTCTCGGTGCTTACACAGATGTTCTTACGTAGGAGCCTATATTTATCGTTAAACTCCCGGTTCGCCGGAGTAGACTGGCATCCTTGCTACACAATTCAAACCGAAACTCGACTTAACCAGACCATGATTAATTTCCGTTTGCATGGTTGTGTACAGGACTATCGCTCCTTGTGGAGTACTTATTTGAACCACGATCATTCCTTAATCCGCGAAGTTTATCCTATGTTTCAGTAGCCAACAAATCGTTCTAAATGGATTGGTGTAGGCGAACTGACTGCAGCTTCCATTGCAGCCAAACCGAACTAGACTCAAGGCTAGCTACCGACCCACTGAAAATCGTAAATGAGAATCAACTGTATTTGCATGTCATGGAAATGGCAGGTAAATTCGCTTGTGGGTTTGCGAAAGATCCTAACTAATAAGAACTGAGTTTCTGCAGACCCCTTAAAACTCCTTGAGGCACTCCGGTCGACTCCGGAGAACCGGGAGTTTGACGATAAATAAAGGCTCTTACGTAAGAACATCTCCATGTAAGCACCGAGAAACCTAGTAGTCAGAGTGTGATTCCTAGTTGGGAACAACAGCTGCATCTGGTAACTGCTGGAAGATGCTTTAACACATCCGAATCACTACCCTAATGTGAAATAAAAGCATGTTAGTCAAGTAGATGCTTGATCGAGTCTATCAGCATGGAAAAACGTAATATCGAAGCAGCGTTTCCTCCAGAAGAATGTGATCCAATAAGACGGAGCAACTGAAGAGTGAACTGCTCAACAAAAATGGCAAAAACAATCTTGTAAACTGTTTCAGAGCGAACAGAACAATCCAAAGCTAATTTGATGGTCAAGAGCGAGAACTGTTTATGACTCTCACACCAAGACAAGACAATTCTGTATCACGTAACGGTTCTCCAGTTAATGCCAACTTATCACGTAAACACTTTTAGAAGTATGCGAGATCATCAAAAACAAAAATAACAGTTGTTGTGTAACATGGAAGTAGCTCAGTGACCAAATACAGTAGTCATCAAGCCATCGTCCCACAGTAATTATGGGCAAGCTAGCAACTAGTTTTGAAACGGAATTTGTGAGGTTCTGGTAATGAACTATGACATATGGAGTTGAATAATCTGGAAATATGACGGTTTAACGCTAAATGAAGAATGACTGAAACATGAAAACGGGAACAAACGGATATTGATTTGGCAGCTCAGTGGTATTGTACTCACTGTAACATGGAGAACCTGAATTCAATTTCGTATAGGCTTGTGAGTACACCATTGAATATCAAGTTAGAGAATGAACGTCCAGTGTTTTCATTTCTTTAAAGTTTTTTTACTCAACCATTCTGTTACGAGAATTAATTTTAAATTATGCGACATATCCACGAGATCTCTGAAGTAGATATGACAGCTGCTAAGCAGGTCAAAATAATAGATATCGGTACTAAGCACCGGACTGTTAGAACCCAGCCAGCATTAATTCTGGTGTCGTGGATACAAGAAGACTATTATACGAAAACCACATTTAAGTTAGTCACTGCTAGTAACGAATCCGGGTTATTTAGCATGTTTCGAGGTTCAAAAGTGAAATCTTGTAAGAAAATAGGTGACTCATGCAATTAATCTCGCAGTATCAAGGGATCAAAGTAACTTTTCGTAACAATATTACACTCTGTATTTGTTGTGACGGCTTAACTGATGACATATTGGAATGAATGAAATTGTTTCTATAAGAATTTAGCCACAAAACCGCTCCTCAAATCCAAGTGAGACTTATGAAGGCTAAACCAATAGTTGATTATTAAAACATACCGAAAAATCGAAGTCATTACTTACAAAGTATTCAATCAAAAAATTATGACCATGGGTTATTTGTGTATTTACAAATCAATGAAAGACTAACACTGTCATAAAAACAACCGACAATTACTTTTTCCATATCAAGCAAGAGGAAATTTCCTTATAACAACTTATCACTAGAGTTTTAATGAGCCTTTAGACAGCTGCCGACTATCAATTCTGTTGGCTTATCATTCGAACTAAGTGCGAACGATGTTCGCGACAGAAAGTATGCATAAAGGATATTTTGCTATTCAGTTTTATTAAGAAGTTCAAGCCCTTACAACAGCGAACTCCAGATTCGACTATAAAGGTTGCAATATGGGTAATTGATACTTACGTTGTAAACAAAGAAATAAAACCTAAAGTCAGTGTACGCATAACTATCAAATAAACTGTAATGTTATGGATAAATTAGTGATAGTACGAAAGCATATGATTTAAAAAGTTAATTTGTGATCAATCACCTGACTTGCATCTGAGGATGGATCATGTTCTGAAGTATCACTCAACGGTTGTTCGACTTCCATAGCTTCTTCATATTCCAGTGCATGCAGGCCCGCATTACGGTCAATAGCATTTGGGTTCGTTTGGGGAGTATTAGGACTCAATTTCCCTTGTTTGTGAGACATTCAAGTGGTCCTTGGAAAGCACCAACAGTGAACTGAAATAATCTGAAAATGAAAGTAACATCGGTCTTTAAAATATTTAGTATTCAGTAGAAGCCAGACCTGATACTTTTAAAACAATAAGTTAACATAGATCGCTACTTAACCAATAATTCAGCGACAGATATTTCGAAAAATTCACCGAAAAAGGGGAAACGACAGACAATAACAGTAATACAGAATTTAGTGGGAGATAAAAATCAATAAGGTGGTTCAGTTACACCAATGTCTAAGCACATTTAAACACAAAACTTGGTATACGATTATCCCAGGTGCTTGCTGACAGGCTGTTTATGGTTTCGATTGTGCTACACGGTGAATTTGCAACAAGACTTTGTGTCGTTAACAGTCCTAATGTATGTACTCAAACAAAATGGCCAACGACTTCAAATCAATTCCCCAGACTGGTAATTAAACGGAATTTCGCATTTAGAAAACGACTCTAGATAATCAGCACGCTAAAAGCCAAGGAGAAAAGAACTCCGAGCTAGGGTCTTAACTTTATAGATAGCGCCTGACTGAAGTCTGCATGATAAAAAGCGGTTATGATATATATATATATATATATATATATATATATATATATCCATTTACTTTCATATTTAGAAATATTTTCATACATTCTTTTTACTGTCTTTCGTGCTAAAATTCATCACTCCTGTCGGGGGCCCATTTCATTTATTCTGAGATGTAGACCACTATTAAGATCCTAAGTTATATCTGAATCAAGCCAAAATCTTATGATCTGATAACCTGATGTGTGGACGAGAATGATGACGATTGGTTGTTTGCTTAGTCAGACTTGTAGATAGCCTGACATGGATTAGATGAGTTATATATTGTCCTACCATTATTAATTGTTGACGGATTGTTGTCGGTTATTGATGTGGAAATATATTTACGTCCTAGTCAGGCTAAACACGTGTTTTCGATTGTGTTGAAGTCCTGTAGAATAAACATTGGGAGGGAATCTAGTGTACATATTCGTCTAACACAAACTAACGTCCCGTTCGTGTAGACGTGGAAATCCGAGCGTTATAACAGCCATTAAAGTCACTGGTTAGTAATAGATTACTGAAAACCAATACCATTGAAATACGGTGCATTACTAATTGGTTTTGTAATGTACAGTCTATACAAACACTGCCGGAATTTCTGAAGCAACTACAAAGGATCAAATAAACATTTGTAGCAGGTATATAACTTGAAGATAATAATAACTCATTAAATCCCTCACGTGGGTGGGAAGACTGAGAAGTAACTTCGAGTGCAATACATACACAAGCCTTTTAGAGACATACTGATGGACATCTAGGTTTAAGTTGAATTTTAAACATAATGAATGGTTTTGATTGGTGCCGTCACCAATAAGTACACAACACTATCCGAATTTAATATTTCCTGTTAGTTTATTACCTTCAGAGGGGATCCGTTTTCAACTATGCAATATTTTTTAAATTTCGCTTTCTTCAAGTCTAGGATGTCATCAAGTCACTATATTGAGAACGCATGATTGGCTCTCAAAAATACTATAAAATAATGACATCAAATGCAGTCTTCTAGTCACTTTGGGTAACAGTGCAAGCATGTTTAGGATGCTATTCTATCCTCAAATGCAAGGTGTTGTTTCAAAATCGGCCTGCGTGAGCGCCTGAATTAATGAGTGAAGTAGCTGGATGTACCAACTTTCCACTTATATTGGTATTTTGCATAGTTAACTACGGCTAATGTTATCTGTTGCTACCATAAGATGATCTACAACATCTAGAACACGATAACCAGAAACTTAATTGTTTACTTATGGTTTATTGGATTTTTATACTCTGGAATTCACCCGAATAACCGGGTACTTTCAGAGTGCAAAATTTTACAGTACAAATGTCATAACGGTAGCTATTAGGTGCGTCACTCATCTTAGTGTCACAATCACAAGTTTCATCACCATATAAGGCTAATAATCATTTTAGCCTTTAGCTAGAGAGGACGTTTCAAATACTAAGCCAACCAAGAAGTAGGGAAAGAAACCATCTTAGGAAACCTAACAGTGGAACGATATGCTAGAAGCTAAATGAGTCCCAATTCCGAATAGCTTTAGCGCAGGTACCCCAGGAGTACAACCAAGTCGCACTATGACCCGAGGCCGAGCACATAAATCTATACTAGTCAAATTAAGGTTTACCAACCCAAGTGATGAGAAACTGGTGTTAAAAATCATCAACGAGACTACAATATACGGACGAATTGATCAGATATAAGATAACAGGTCTTGCATTTTGTCGTAAAATCTACTCATCCATTTGGCTAAATAGCACTTTGGTATTATCGCTGATGTCAGTTCGTGATGAAAACCCTAAATCTAGTCCCCAACCTTAATCGTCAACTGTAAATCCCAATCCTAATTTTCTACATAGGTTTATAACCAGCTTTTAGTCCTAGTTATTAGGTGGACTCTCAAGGTCATCTTGGCGTCACCCAAAGGTCTTTCATGAATTATAGTCCCACTGAATCTTATTGAGAAAGTGGAAAAGAGTTTGAACGTCATTAGCTATTAGTAGGCTTTCTATGCCTTACATTTATATTCAGATTTTACCTCAATCTCGCCATTTTTCGGACGTTTTCCCGACTTCATGCTATTCCATGTATTCGACTAACAGAACGCAACGACCGCTATACCACGTCCATATTATTCAATCCCCATTTTGTTACGGTAGCAGAAGTAGATTAAGCACTTTATGAGTCTTTGTAGTATAACAACGGCAACTGAACGGGAAAGCCTATAATCGGGTAAGTTGACACTATTCATGAAGTTTAGTTTAAGAACATCAATACTCTGAGACATTGTGAGCTGTTCTGAAAGAAGCAGAAGCTTGGCCAAATATCCACTAGAAGAATATCATAAAAGGTGTTTGAAACCACTCAGAATATCTCATACGCTTAATGAAAGTTTAAGTAATGTTATCTGTATTGGTGCAAGCTATTTTAGGAGTACGACAATGAGACGTTTTCATCAGCATTATGCCGGAAAACACACAAATACAAAGTCCTCAATTGAAAAGCACGATAATCTAGAAGCTGTGAGTGAATTCATACACAAAACATTAAGGAGTATCAGCTTTATATCCAAGTTGGAACTAAAGTCTTAGCTGATAAAATGTCCAGATAATGTGTCAAACAAAACTAAAACCTTGTCTGGACACAACACTAGACCATTCGGAAGCATATGACGAAAAGTAAACGAACCTTATTCCACAGATTTTCAAGAAACTACGGGATTTCCACGAAGTCCAGGATTATTAGACCACGCGCTTAACGCTTCAGCATCGCCTAACTTAACAAAACTGCGGCCGTTCAATGTGATGTTTCACTGTCAAATAATTTTAATTATTATTTGTGAACGACATTATGTTAAATAATGAATGCTACATCCAAATGGATCACCTTCTGGATGACCAGCACTAAATTGACTATAATTAAAAGTGATCATGAGTATTAGGAACATATGGGTAAAGATCTCTTTGGTGGTAAATAACTCCTCAAAATAAATAGTTCTGTGGGTCTTCAACATTGACGCCAACGTCAGTAGTTTGACTAGACACACCTTAGCTAAGGACATCACGTCAAGCATCTACACCAGGTCACCGTTTGGTACACCTTACAAAGCATGTATCATAGTGACAGTACACATACTACTCAGTATACAGATCATCTTCCCAATCCATCCTCAAACACCTTCATTCCTGACCGATGGCTTTATTGACTTTAGGATCTCCGATTATAATACTGATACAAAAACTTTCAACCTATCTGAAACTATAAAAAATTACTTGGATAATAATAAATGTCATATTCAATATCTAATGAATTTGGTGAGGCTATAATTCATGGATGATCTTTGAGTGGTGCTGGTGTGACCTTCAGAATCTCCACCTACTTACTAGGGTTAAATGAATGTTATAAACTGGTAAAAGCAATTAGAATTAAGGCTTAGAGTTGGACGTTAGGGTTAGGAATTACGGTTAGAGCTTCCATCACGAAATGACATCAGCTGTAATGCCAACATGTGATTTAACTGTACGGTGAATGAATTTTCCGTCCAAGTTCACGACGCGCTATCCTTAGTCCGCCTGAGTCATTTATAAATCATATCTCTCCGTGGAATTTTTGATCGTCTCAGAGGTGGAATAAGTTGTCTAATGAGATTATATAGACTACATCACATGGATTGATGGTGGAATAAGTATTTCTTATTTGTTGATAATGGATAAATGATATCGACTCACAATCATGTTGCCTGTTATCATGTCAAATGAACTGCCTTTGATATACAAGAGAATAAGCAAACGGGTCTTCATAATGAGAAAGTATCCATAAAAGTAATGAAAACTAATTTATGGTGGCCGGCCTGTCATCTAAATAACAAATTTTGTACTTGAGTGGACAAGATAAACTCTTTTAAGACAGAGTCAGTATCCAGGTCATCACAAGACGATGTTTCTCGCCTGCTTGCATTCTTCATAACCGTTGGCGGCCTTTAAGTGAATGTTCTCTGGTTCATAATTACTCGAGTTGCATAAAAAACAGGTCAAATTAATCAGTTAGGTGGTAAGGAATCAGTCAAAAACTGAGATGGTGTCAATTAAGATTTAGCTTTATTTCATACAAAACTGAAAAAAGCAGTAAAAACGTAACAAATAAAGTGATACATTTATGTAAAACAAAATGGTAAGTGAAATAAATAACAATATCCTCCGGAACCAAGACGGACAGAAAACCTAAGAAACAAAACTATCAAGGATAGCAACCTTACATCTAGGGAGAAACGAAAGGCTGTTGTTTTGCGTAAAAGATACATGGGGATTTTCATACACATTCACATAAACATAAGAAATCGACCATGTAGAAATTCCCAAAGATAATCCAGGCAAGCGCCTCTAGTCCACCAGATGATACACTATGCTTACAGTACTTTGTAACATGCATCATTTTATTTAAACTGGTCACATATATATTTTCATAGAAACATCACGTCCAAACTACTTGAAATAAGATATATATAATCGTTGTCAAGGAAGATGAAATGTTGGACCATTTCTCTTGTATGGTCGTGTTGACATCCCGTTTACTGGAGCCAGTAGTACTTTGTTGTTACCTCGTTCGTGATTGTATCATGCAGAGTCTGCAGTTCGCAATTGGAATCCAAAATCAGCGAGGGTATCCAAAGAAAGTATAATTAATTTCATTCGTATTATTGTTGTTTAGACAGTCTCAATTGACATACTGTTAGTATTGTTAGACCAGTGAATAACTTGTTGTAACTGTCCACCAAAAATTTTATGTATCATTGTTCGTTTACTAGTTCTGCTTTGGCAGTTGGGGTTAGTTATTTACAGTGCATTTCACTCTGTATGGGGACGTCAGCATTCCTACCATGACAATCGCTTCATATGACAATATATCATTGTAAAAAAGCGGGTTGTTTTTGAACGAACCATTTTAGATTAAACAGTAATACAAAACATGTAAGTTGTTCTCATTGTCATTATTACATACTTGTGAATGTCATGCATCAAGTCAACGAGTACTTCTGCACCATGATTTGTAACACGATCAAGTAATTCACACTCATTGGCGTTGTTTAAACCAACATTTTTTATTGCCAACATCACTAAATCAACAAACGAAGACGTGTTCTAAACCACCAAAAGTACTCGGGATGCAAAACAGCACTACCTAATTTTAGGTGGCTAATGCCTAATCAAAACTATAAGTAGCTATTCATAGTGGTTTCTCGACATCGCCACAAAGCACGGTTACGAGTTAACAATTAGGTAATATGCTGATATGAGCGATGAAGCTAAGGACATAGTCAATAAATTGACTGATAATAATTATCGCAAACAAAGTGATGCTTTCCCACTGTCATATTTATCTGACACTGATTGTTTCGGGAAATTCTCTTATCAGTTGATTTCTTAGTAAGTACCATAAGACTTCATAAATCCGATTGGAAGTTCAACGACAAACATTTGTATAAATCACAGTTGCAAGAAACCGGTTGAATCTTCCACAAACTAAAAGCATCACTATCATAATTATACAAACACTGACAAATGGGTTGAAAGTTTAGCTTCTGTATGCTCTAACCTACACTATCCCTGATAATTACACAAATATCACTCAGATTATCAACTTATGAGCATTTAGATAACTGAGAATATCATGTAATCACTCATTTTTAATGGTAGTATCTAAACCGTATTGATTATGAAACGCGATTCAAGACTGATTCCTTTATAGCTTTTGTTTAATTTTAAGACGCCACAGGTACATAGAGTTCAACAACGCCTTTACATGTAACACCATTACGGTCGAAGTATGCTTATCCAGTCATATCAGAAGTCAGCAATGAAGAGGTTCGAAAACATGGTTGAAAGGCGACCGATATGTCGGTGCAACCACTAGTGATCTAGTGCGGATGCATGGCCGAGCGCCTTCAGCCAGTTGTGTCCAGTAAAGCCAATGACGTCAGCATCAAATTTCGAAGACTCATAGAACTATTTATTTTAAGGATTTATTTATAGCTAAAAACTTAATGCTGACAACCAGCTTGTGTGTCCTGTAATTTCTAATCAACCATCTGTAAGCATTAACACGAATAACTGTTTCAATATATGATCGGATCGATCTCTCACAGCTACAGTCGTGTTGAACGAATCATTGTCTATCGTTTGTACGAAATTCATGAAATTAAAATCATTGTCAGGTGACAAAATTTTTTATTTAATAATTACATCTATTTTTGGCCTCAAATAACTAATGGATCAGTTATTTCATTACGCGTCCTGAGAGCACATCTATGTTTTTTGGGCTTAGCTGGCCTTATCTATCTTTAAAACGCAGATTCCTTTTTTAAACTTTTGGATGTCTAAAGGGAAAATCGAGCAAACACATGATAGCCAGGCGGAACATAGAAAAATCGTACTTCACCAAAGTGGTAATGAGAAGCTTTCTAGCAGCACTTCCGCACATATTCTCATTTCATTATCTCACCTTCAATTTTCCTACTAGCTCTGAATACCGTGTGAAGGGCACGTGCAACAAATCATGTGCGGTAACCTGTAGAGAGAAGATAAATGCTACCAAGAAAAAAACAAATTAAGAAATTTATGGTTTATCCCTGAATTTTAGTTTAGCAGTGGTCGACATTAATAATAATATATTTCTGCAAGGACAGGTACACGCCAATTTTACAGGCATGATCTACAAGTTACAACATATACTGGTTCACAGTGTGCATCCCAAGTATGGTTGTTTATTAAGCGTCTATAAAAGTTGATGGCAGTTCATTCGTTCACATGCAATGTATTTTCATTAAAATATTTTCCGAAGGGGCATCGCGTCCACGTTACACACCAGATCCAATCTCGGCAAAATTGTGTTAGGATTTTGTTCGTGCTAAGTGTTAAAGCAATGCAAATTTGAAGTTTACAGTTGTTATAAAGTAGACTTGGGTAGCGCCTGGTGTGAATTGTGACCTTGGGGCAGCGTGTTCCAGATGTCAGAAGTTACATAGCCTCACCCTCAGAGCAAGATTCTGAAGAGAAGAAAAAGAAGAAAGAAACAGAGGAGCAGCAAGGCATTTGGTTATAAACGATAAGCAAGACTTAACATTTAGCAGTGGAACAAACGGAGGCATGATAAATTATTAGATCAGATTGATACTAGCTCAAGTTGTTAGAGTGAAATGTGATCAGGGACTCCAGATGAGAGAATGCAGTAATAAACATCAATAAGTTGTGATATTTATCAAAGTAGAGTAGGTTCGAATGAAAGAAGGGAAGTCAAAATTCGAATGAGAAAGACTTTATTAGAACAGAAAGTGCATGTAGAGAGTAGAGTGTTAAGTGAAATAGCAACCATATCCTTTATGGTCTGTTTTTTTCGTCATCCGATGCCTGCCACGGAGTTCTCATGTAAAAGTCCGAGTTAGCATGTTATAGGTTGTCTTAGTAAAATAGTTAATCTAGCATAGAAATTAAAAACGCATGAATCTGAATGGTGAGTGTAGGAGAACAACCTCAATAACACAGATTGATTGCTTGTTCTCATCCATAAAGAGCCTGATACAGACAAAATGTTCTGCCCCACAAACACGGGTGGATTGAAGTCATCGTCCTCACCATCAATGCTTGCTGGTCAGTAACTCCACCCTCCCTGCTTTTGTGATGTTAGGCTCATTTAAGCTATTTTTGGATATATATCATACCTCACACAATGCTCTATGTTTCACTTCCTGTTGGAAAACACTATTTCGATAAGCACCATTTTACAAGCTTATCAGA